AAATCCCCTGTCCCATATTTAAAAAAAGAAAAAACAATTAGATCCAGAGCCTAAGCAAGACCATTTCAATCATAAAATTTACAGATGAAGCTTTATCAGTTGGTGCAATGAAAATTTTATTCAGCGGAATGTCTCAAACAGGAAAGAAATTTGGTTGTCCATTTCCAAAGGGAGACTCACCTAATTGCAGATCACACAATAAAAAAATCACAGTACAGAGAAAGTCGATAATATCAGTACCTGGCATCAAACACTGACTAAATAGAATAATCATTAAAACACAAACTAAACATCCTTCACTTGAACAATTTAAAAAGAAAAATGCTCAGAGGAACAGTTTGAGAAGTTAATTGCTGAAAAGGACTTCCTTGAATATGCTCAGTTTTCTGGAAATCTCTGTGGAACAAGTTTTAAAAAAATGTCTTTAGAAAAACCTCACATCTAATTTTATTTAAGAGGATTCTATTTATATCAGTCTGGTATTCCCGTTTTCAAAGTCCAATAATTCACACATCAATCTATCTTCCAAACATTAGTTCACCAATTCTCATATCAAACTTTCACCTAAACCTTACTTCACAAATTTACACATCAAACTATCCCCTAAACTTTAGTTCACTAATTCCCACATCAAACTATCCTTTTTAAACCAGTGGTTCTCAAGCTTTCTGATGTCGCGACCCTTTAATACAGTTCCTCATGGTGTGGGGACCCCCAACCACAAAATTGTGTTTTCCGATGATCTTAGGCGACCCTTGTGAAAGGGTCGTGCGACCCCCAAAGGGGTTACGACCCACAGTGCTTTAAACCATAAGTTTATTCACACTTCAAACTACCCCTTAAACCTTAGTTCAACAATTCCCACATCAAACTATCCCTTAAACCTTAGTTCAACAATTCCCACATCAAGCTATCCTTTAAACCATAAGTTTATTCACACATCAAACTATCCCTTAAACCTTAGTTCAACAATTCCCCCATCAAACTATCAACTTTACCTTAAGTTAACATCTCCACACCAAATCTGCTCACACACTACCTGCAACTTTATATTATGGATAGATTTAAGTTAACCAAATATCCATCCAGTTCATCAGTCATAAAAAAAAAAAAGTTAGTTGTGTGCTTCATTATCCCTAAATTGACCATTCAATTGACCTTAAATTGAACATTCAACAGACCCTAAATGGAATTTTCAATTAACCAATAAATTGACCCTAAATTGAGAAAATTAATTTAATTGACCTTAAATTTACTATTCAATTGACCCTCCATTAACCTTTCAATGTGCCCTAAATTGATCATTCAATAGACCCGAAATTAACCATGTTATTACACCTGAATTGTCCCTGGCTTAACGCTTAATGGACCATTTGATTTACCCTAAAATGACCCAACTAAACCCACCTTTTAAACTCTTCTGTGACTTTCATTGAACAAGGGTGCTTCGGGACAGCATCACCACCAGCTACAAGGTGGGCTTGGCTGCTCTTGGCATCTGTGACTCTTCTGTGACTTTCATGGAACAAGGGTGCTTCGGGACAGCATCACCCCCAGCCACAATGTGGGCTTGGCTGCTCTTGGCATCGGCATCATGATGAACATTGGAGGCGCGCTTCGATGGAGGACATACTGTGGGACTTTTGGATGCTGTGCATCAATGGCGATTGTGATGCTATTCCGGATTCCAATAAAAAAGGTAAACAAATCATTTTTTGGCATAATTTATGACTGAAATTAATGTTAAATTTTAATTTATTTAAGTAAATTGTCAAGTCTGTGTGTGATATTTTTGTTTGCACCTCATGCCAACAATGTAAATCTGTGTGTGATATTTTTGTTTGCACCTCATGCCAACAATGTAAATCTGTGTGATATTTTTGTTTGCACCTCATGCCAACAATGTAAATCTGTGTGATATTTTTGTTTGCACCTCATGCCAACAATGTAAATCTGTGTGATATTTTTGTTTGCACCTCATGCCAACAATGTAAATCTGTGTGATATTTTTGTTTGCACCTCATGCCAACAATGTAAATCTGTGTGATATTTTTGTTTGCACCTCATGCCAACAATGTAAATCTGTGTGATATTTTTGTTTGCACCTCATGCCAACAATGTAAATCTGTGTGATATTTTTGTTTGCACCTCATGCCAACAATGTAAATCTGTGTGATATTTTTGTTTGCACCTCATGCCAACAATGTAAATCTGTGTGATATTTTTGTTTGCACCTCATGCCAACAATGTAAATCTGTGTGATATTTTTGTTTGCACCTCATGCCAACAATGTAAATCTGTGTGATATTTTTGTTTGCACCTCATGCCAACAATGTAAATCTGTGTGATATTTTTGTTTGCACCTCATGCCAACAATGTAAATCTGTGTGATATTTTTGTTTGCACCTCATGCCAACAATGTAAATCTGTGTGATATTTTTGTTTGCACCTCATGCCAACAATGTAAATCTGTGTGTGATATTTTTGTTTGCACCTCATGCCAACAATGTAAATCTGTGTGTGATATTTTTGTTTGCACCTCATGCCAACAATGTACAACTAACTCTCCTCTTATTTCTTGACCAATTATATTATGCAGGCTTCATCCTGTTATACGATGTAATATATTACCTTTAAGTATCTATCCTGTGACATGTTAGCTTATCTATCGTGTGACATGCTACAGTTTCCCCGTAAATTGTATTTTTAAATTAGACATAACATTCGCACGAGGTTAATAAGTTCAAAAGAGTCCCAGGGCCCCCTAAATTTCCCAAGCATTCCGCCCCCCCCCCCTTCCCCGCCGTTGCCATAAGAACTAAGAGCTTTCAATACCATGGACTAATTAAATTTCTAAACAAAACAAAAATTTTGTGGTATTTAAATACACATAGATATTATTTTAGAGTTTTCAGGTTATAATTTTTCTTCTAGAACTTAAAACAGATGTTCCTATAATATCTTATCCTCTTCTCCCACACTCTTCCATTTCAACATTCATTTTTCAGGTAGCGTAAAAGTTGGTGAGGCGTCCTCCATACAGGGTTTGTATTCAATGGATTCGCCTTTGTCTTGGCTGCCACCTTCCAAGTACTTCCCCCATGATTGGCATTGTCCCGATTAAATTACGCCACCTTTGCATAGAGGAATGTTAGGAGGTAAGCTAAGCCTGGCTGATCAGTGAAATCTAATATACTGAAGTTACACTACTAGCCATCCTTTGAGACAAAATATAGTAAAAAACTGAGTTAACTTTAGTAAAATTTTGACCCCTCCCCCCACTTACTCCTACCCTAGTTTGCACAGAAAGATGAGAATATTATTAGTGTGAAATCCACCTCTATTTTAAAAGACATTATGAAAAGTATGTTTACCAATTAAGTCTGGCCAAATGCAAAAATTTATTTAAAAGCTTGTAATTTAAGCCTACTTGTAGAGCTTTGGCTATTTTAATAAAAATGCATCCTAGAACCTTCTATGCTCATCTGGAAATTACTGGAAACTTTTTAAAAATGTCTTTAAATCTAATTTAATAATATTTGAGGACAGTCCCAAAGACTTTTAAGACATAAATACGACACTGATATACTAATATAATCTTTAAACCCTTTAACCCTCTAGAAACCAGGGACATCATGTCGGTAGGGCAGGGTGTGGTATCTGCGCCCTAGATGACAATGACATTCTAGATTAGATGACCATATTATTCTGAATTTCAATAACATACTAGATTAGATAACTATGAAATTCAGGATGACAATGGCATTCTGGATGATGTAGGCATTCTAGATGACAATGAAATTATGGATGACAATGACAATCTAGATGACAATGACATTCTGGATAACAATGACATTCTACCTGACATTGACATTTTGATGACAATGACTTTATGGATAATAATGACATTCAGCCTGACAAAGACATTCAGGATGGCACTGACATGCTAGACGAACATAAAATAAAAATGACAGACTGACTCGAACACATTTAAAACCTAGGCAGACTTTTTGGTTTTTTTAAGGTTGATGCAAACATGGAACTGTGTAGTTTAATAGACAGACAGGTACTGTGTAGTTTGATTGATAGACAGACAGGTACTGTGTAGTTTGATTGATAGACAGACAGGTACTGTGTAGTTTGATAGACTTACAGGTATTGAGTATTTTGATTGATAGACAGACAGGTACTGTGTAGTTTGATAGACAGGTACAGTGTAGTTTGATAGACAGACAGGTACAGTGTAGTTTGATTGATAGACAGACAGGTACTGTGTAGTTTGATAGACAGGTACAGTGTAGTTTGATAGACAGACAGGTACAGTGTAGTTTGATAGACGACAGGTACTTTGTAGTTTGATGGGCAGACAGGTACAGTGTAGTTTGATAGACAGGTAACGAAGACGCTATTAACCTGCACCCCTTTCTTCTTCCGACAGCTGTCTTCATCGTCATCTGCCTGAGTACCTGGGCGGCCAACGTCAAGCTGGACCTCACTGACGCTGACACTGACCTGGGGTACTTGTTCTTCCTCAGCATGGCCGCATTGTGCCCTCTTTGTCTTCTTCCAGGGGCGGGGATTCGATTCATAGTTCATACAGTTTGATTGGAGACTATCCAAAACTTTTATGTGAACACACATAAGAGACACCTCCCCCCCCC